GGACTCCGGCGGGAACCCCTGATCCAACATGGGCTACCAACCAACCAACCCGTTACTGTTACTGCTTTCCGCTCATGTCTCTGATGAATAATCCAGCACGGATGTCGAAACGTCAGGCGAATAAAAGTGCTGTCCTAACGATCGAATCTTCTTCTTCTTTTCAATAGCTTAACCCGTTTGGCTTGAAAGGCGACGAAATACGCATAGCATTTTGCTATGTCTTCTTCAACTGGACAAGATAAACTATCCAATAGAACGTCGACCTAGAGAGCTGAACCCTGATTGGTAATTAGAGCATTAACTGTGCGCATGTAGGTGTGTGTATGGCCAAGGGGAGGTTGGTTTTGCCCTGTTCATATGTATTCCGGGAAAACAGTGCTCCAAGTTGTGTTCCTGAACTAGAAACCGGCCCGGCGTCAGCATGAATGACTGCAACAGACAGCGGCGGTGAGCATCCTGGCTAAGTCTACTCTGAATCCGCGGTCTTAATTGCCATTAGACAGAGGGTGAAAGTCGCGGTGTACGGAACAAAGTTAATTTTGCGCGTGTGCGACGAGACCCAGTTCTGGACAACACTTAACTGCACATCCGCACGAGCAGCTTGGTCAGCAGGCCTGGAAATGCGACGATGAAACAAAATAAAATCTATCAGGCCCACGCCAGCCCACGCACAGTCATTTGGCGGCGGCGGCGGCTGCGGCAGCCGTTGATTGGTCAACGTGTCGTGGAGCTATTCTCTTTTGCTGCTGCCGCCCGTGCGTGCGACTGATTTCAGGCAGAAAATGCCGGTGAGTTGTAAGCTCCTTGTAGGACAAGGACATTTATGCTTGTTCAACTACGTCGACGCGGTTACTGGTCAAGAAGGCGGTGGGTGGTGTGCCTCGTCGCAGAAAAGGTGTACATTGGTTGTCCCCTCCCCCTGGTTACGGTCTCCAGCTCCACCCCCTCCCCTGCAGACAGTTGTGAGTAACAGTTGCCCTTCCGGCGAGGGTTCCACGGACTGTTCCCCTCCCCGGTGGTAGCCTCCAGCTTCACCTTTCCCTGATTGTCTTCTTCGATTATGCGTGATCGCTTATATGACAGTTTATTACTGGCTGGCTAGTAGCCCTTGTTGGATCCGGAGCCCCGCCGGGC